CCTGTACCCACCATTCAGGCACAGCTGCCCCAGGAGTGCAGGCCACCTCTTTGGTCCCCCTCTCAGTCTACTCCCCGGGCATCAGACTGGACCCCAGGGATGGCAGTGCTCACTGTGGGCCCCTCCGTGAGGTTGTACTCTGCCCCTCACCCCCCAGCACTGGGCCCCGGGCTGCCCGGGGCCTCACTAGCTCCTGAAGATCCTGCTGAAGCAGCAGCCTGGGTACTTCCTGTCACAACTGGTGGAAGGGGAGGAGTCAGGAGGCCACCCCAGGCCTACTCCCTGCAAGCCTCCACTCCTGGACCAGGGCAAGACCCCCAGCAACACGGGGTCCCCTTCCGTTCCAGGGCCCTGGAGCAAACAATCCTTCAGGGAAGAGGGCTGGACCCAGTCCCGGGGGTGTGGGGGGTGTGCAGCGGTGCAGCAGCCGCCAGCTCCAGCTCTGCTCCCTCCCCTTGGCGCCTGGCTGTGACCCCCCAACCTGTTCTCCAAGACAAACAGCCTCAGGCCCTTCTCAGGGCCCTTCCCGCTAACTTTGGGCTGGTCTACACTAAGCACCTAAGCACGGGGCAGTGCGGTCAGACCTCAGTCCCAGCCTGGGGAGCCCTCCCCCTGCGGGCCCATGGCAAATGCTCACCTTCCTCCCACGAAGATCGCACAGCGGGGACTCCTAGAGCCACAGCGTGAGTTTACAGGTTCATCTCTGCTTCCACATGGGCCCCTCCAGGAAACGGAAAGCCACGTGTGCACATGTGCTGTGGGAGGGCTCGCTCAGGGGCTGCTCTCCAATCTGGGCGGGTGATGGGATGCAGAGGGGACTAAGTCTGAGGGGACTAAGCGGGCTGCAGGTTCTGAAGCTGGGACACCCGGTGAGCTCTGGCATAGCCTGCCTCTCCTTGAACCCATCACTCTTTCTTCCCCGTCCAGTTGATGGGGAGATCACATGGGATGTCCAGGAAAAGCCAAGGTAGGGAGCCCTACAGTGAGGGCCAGAGGGCTTCAGCCGCCCGCTCGGCTCTGGAAAGAGCTACAAAGCTGACTGACGGATGAGTTATCACTACGGGCCACCGGCCACCGGCCACCGGCCACCGGCGGGCCGTCCCAACACCCTCCTCCAGGCCTCCTTTGCAGCAAGCCTGTGTCCCCACAGGACGGCCACGCCTCCACCTTGGCCTTCTCAACAGGCCAGCTTTGTTTCTCTAGGCCAAGCCCTGAGAGGGAAGACAGGGCCTTGAGACCGACAGGTGCCTGGATCCACGAGGCGACCTAGAGCTCCATCAGCAAGTGTGGTGCTGATGTCCACAGAGCCCTTTGCCGACCACATCCTGCCTGGGCGCCACCGTGTACCTGGGCACTGCGGACTGGGCACGGGAAATCACAGTCGCCCGCACCCGAAGATCAAGGCGGTTGAACAGACACTTTCAAAACCTGGTAGCGGACGGGACGCCTGGGTGGCTCAGTTGGTTGGACAACTGCCTTCGGCTCAGGTCATGATCCTGGAGTCCTGGGATCGAGTCCCGCATCGGACTCCCAGCTCCACGGGGAGTCTGCCTCTCTCTCTGACCTTCTCCTTGCTCATGTGCTAATAAATAAATAAAATCTTTAAAAAAAAAAAAAAAAAAAAAAAAGAACAAAACCTGGTAGTGGAAATCACGGGGCAACCAGGTTGCTTCCACTGGCAAAACAGTCCTTTTCAAACCAGCTCATGCCCTGAGTGAAGGGGAAAACTTCTCCTGCGGGGATGGTGCCTCTTATTCCGTCAGCTCGCCGAAGGTGTGTCACCCCGTCCCACTGGAGAGAAGCAGCTTCTGCTGCAGCCGCAGGGAGGGCTGCAGGCACTCACCGGAGGACCAAAGAGGGGTCCTAGCCCCTCAAAGAGGTGGGCACAGTCCCCAGGCAGCAGGGACCAAGGAGGGGGTCCATACCCTTCCAATCCTGCCCATTTGCCCTGTGACAAATGGATGTCGTTCCAAGGAATTCCTGCCTCAGATTAAAACAGCCTGCAAGGAACAAAGAACTTGGGCGGGAGGATGGCGGGGACAGAATTTTGTCACATGGGAAATCTGTTGTATGATTAGCCCAGTGAAATGCTCTCTTCCTTCCTAAGGGTTGTGATGCCTCTCTTGCTGCTCCCAAGGTAAGGCAACAGCACAAGTCATCCCCGGGAGGGAGGACAATTGGGGACGGCTTGTCTCACTCATACGGACACCCACCAAACAGCTGTTAACCCTGCTCCCCCTTCCCCAGATCATGGCCTTGCCTGAGCACAATACTCCCTGTGGCCTGGGGCTCCCCCTGGCCTCCTCTCTCCCCCTACCCCCCACCTCCTAGCAGATAGGATCACCAAGCAGAAGCCTGGTGAGGCTGGCCCCTGCAGTGTCCACAGGAAGTGCTTCTGAACCCCAGAAGCCCTGTCCTAGCTTACTTCCTGCCTCTCCTCCCAGCTCACCCAGAGCCAGGGACTGGCAAGAGTCCTGCCCCGGAGAAGCTGCGTAGCCCCGTCTGTCACATGCCAGGGGCCGAGCCTCTCCCAGCTCGTAACTTTCCTGTCCTGTCAGGCCTGACCAGTTACCCTTCCTCTGAGCCTTTTCCTTTTGTGAGTGGAGGGAAAAGGGCTTTGGAATCTTTTTAAGAGAAGGGGAATATTCGGAGTAAGCCGACAGTGTAAAAGGGAGGAAAGAAACACCGACACTCTCAACCTAGTGAACTCCCACACAAGTGCACACACGTTTAGCCAAAATGTCAAATGTTGCAACGCCTGGCTTGGGACTCTGTCCAAGATGCAAAGCGGACATCCCTTGTAAGACTTCTGACCCCCACCCAGGGCCAGTGGGAAGTGGCACACACATTCCCCCCTCTGACTGCTCACCACAGACACCCTAAAGTTTCCTCAGGCCAAGGCTTCTTTCGCAGCAAGGGGCATGGGGCCGCACAGCTTTGTGCCTCCCAGGGTTTCGGCCCAATGATGGGACAGTGTGACGGCCTGGGGTGTCCCCCGAGACCACACTGCCCATGGCACCCCAGCATCAGGACACGATCCCAGCAGCTGAACAAAGTATCTTTTATTTGTGACATACAAATACAACCAATGCAAAAAGAGATCACTTTTCCCTTTGATTCCAGTGATAACAAGTTGCTAAAGAAAAAAAAAATATATATCAAGGAGTTTATCTTCAATTTCCTCTAAAAAAAAAAAAACCAGAAAGGGTTAAAAAGAACCATACGCATGTCATACACACATTTGACATCAACAAAAATAACCTGAAATAGAGTGAATACAACTAAAAAAAAAAGGAAAATCTTAAAAAATATTTTAACATGCCCCAAACAAAACACACAAAACAGCCGGAGAACAAAAGGCCTGCTCTGTTTCTCAAAACCAAGACCTGGGGAAGTGGAGAAAGACGGATGTCTGAGACGTGAACGGGCCCAACACCAAAACACAGGGAGCTGCTGGTCTCCTGCCCCCACGCGGGCCCCCGAGCCGCCCCGCAGGAAACAGGCGGCAGAGGCTGCAGGAGCAGGTGTGGCACTGAGCCCTCCATCTGCCGGTGGGCTCGGTGGCAGGTGTCCGACAAGTGCAGAGAAAACAACATACACTGAACTCACCTTATGAGGAATTTACAGTGGGGTTCCTTTTGATCCCCTTGAGTGGGAGGTATCAGAAATCCATGATCTAAGACAATAAATATTTATCTGTTCTGTGTCAACAGACAGGGATCAAAGGAAAAAAAAATTCCTAAACATGCTTCTGTCATTCCATGATTCCTGGAAGGAGCCCACCAATACCCTCCCAGCAATTTAAAATGCCCCCACCCCTCCCCCCACAGAACCCCCTGGGAGGCGGAAGGCAGGGGCAGAGACGGGCTTACTCCAGTGGAAAGCTGCAAGGCCTTCTCTGAGGGAGTGCCGCGTCGCATGCTGCCCGCGGGGTCAACAGCATCACACAGCACTCTGCAGAAGGCTGGGCTGGGCAGGGGAGGCCAAGCGCACAGGCCCCTGCACAAGCAGGAAAGTGGGGAAGATCAGCTCCGGGGAGACCCGCCAGCAGAGACCACCTGAGTCAGGGCAGAGCGTGGGGCAGACTGTAAAGTCGGAACAGACAGACCTCCAAGAGCGCAACTCCACAAAGGCTAGAACCTTTAAGACACTCCCTAAAGCAGGGCTCAAGGAGGTCCAAAGGGAGGCGGCAGGTGCTTTTTCCTGGATAAGGATTTGGTCATTTTCTTCCCTGGAAGGGGCACAAGGCCCAGAGACCAGGGCAAGTGTAAGCTCTGATCCACAGTCTCCCTATCCCGTGAGAGAAGAGGAAGGCCTTCTCCCTCTGCTCCAGTCCGAGGCCACAGGGTGACACTGGAGATGGAGGAGAGGAGAGCAGCGGTCTGGCCACCAAGAGGCATTCCTGCTGCAGCTGGGGGGCTGCCAGCCAGGGCAGTGGCACCAGGCCTCACTGAGGCAGCGAGGGGCAAGGCTGGGGAGTGCAGGCGGTGGGGCCTGCTGCTGGCTGGGGGCTCTCTGCAAAGGGAGGGCGGCGACCCCCTCAGAGAGTGATCAGCACCAAGATATGAGAGGCAACAGCACTGAAGAGGCCGGGAACCCGAGGGGTCCTTCTGGGGGAAGATGAAGGGCTCCCTAATGTAATTCTTCCCCTTGAGAGTAAGAACAGAGGTACTGGGTGAGGTGAGCTGGGGGAAGACAAGTGGTGGTGGGGCGACGGAGAGGAACTGGCAGGACCTCTGGCTTGTTTCTGTGACGGGACAGCTCAAGTCACTGCCAGATCAAGAGGTTTGGCTAGAAAGCAGCAAAGTCCGGAAGCCCAGAGAAGCAACTCTCTTCCTGGGGGGGGGGGGGGGGGGGCGCCCCCCCCCCCCCCCCCCCCCCCCCC